TATAATAGGGGGGGGCAAAAATTCAGAATACACAAATCCGGTAAGGTGGATTTGGAATTGATATTGACAGAGGAGAGAATGGGAGGAAGCAAAAGCGTGCAATTGATCTTCTCATTCATAGAGAAAGACAAAGGGCGAGACCTTACTTCTAAAACTGATGAATTGGAAAATCTAGGATTAATCAAGTTCTTCAATGATCAATAGATCTAAAAGCAGAATCTATATGGGCATTCAATTACTTTAAAAATACAAAGCAAATTAAACTGTAATGAATCACAACAAACAAAATAACCTAAGAACACTTTTAAACAACAGAAATTGTGAGACAATAAATGAAAATGAAATAAACAGTTTTTTAAAAAACTTACTCGAATTAAAATATAAAATGTAACTCCACAAAGATTTACGTAAAATAAAATGATTCAGAAAGACTATAAGTAAGAGGACCAGCAAAACTTGTTCAAAAAAATTGTTCGGGGGGCCGCGGTGGCTCCGGCCAGTTGTCCTGGTGCTTGAGGAGGTAAGGCCATGAGTTCAAGGCCAACCTGAGCAACATTACAAGCTCTCATTGATTAACAACAACAACAACAACAACAAAAAAAAAAATTGTTTGAGGGAAAGCAAAGAAGAAAGCAGAGCCATGATTACATCAGAAGAAGTAGAACTCTTTCAAAAATCCCAACGTCATAGAAATCTGTTGCTATTCAAATCGTCCCAACGCATGATGAAAGAAAATTTTCAACTAATTTTACAAATTATGCAGAATTTAGTATTTAAAAAGTAGACAAGCACAAAATAAAAGACTATAAACCCAATTATGAATACACATGCAAAACAACAAAATATTAGCAAAAACTAAATAGGACATTAAAAGAAAACTTGTGAGAATAAGCCAGGGTTATTCAAAATTTGGTAGGCTGTTAATATAAAAAGAAAATAATTCAATAAATACCTAAAAAACAATTTTTTATTTCTTTTGAGACCTAGTCTTGCCCTATCACCCAGGCTGGAGTGCTGTGGCATGATCTTGGCTCACTGGTTCAAGCCATTCTCCTAGCTCAGCTTCCCAAGTAGCTGTGATTACAGGCACGTGCCACCGTGCCCAGATAAGTTCTATCCTTTTAGTGGAGACTGGGTTTCACCATGTTGGTCTGGCTGGTCTCAAACTCCTGACCTCAAGTGATCTACCCATCTCGGCCTCCCAAAGTGCTGGGATTACAGGTGTGAGCCATGACGCCCTGCCCTAAAATACAATTTTTAAAAGTACCATGTATCCCTGATGTCAATGTTTCATAAAACAAGAATAGAAGGATAGTTCCATAACAAAAACATTTGCACAGGTACATCAAATGAGTGTTGGTGTCATTCTCAAAGGGAAGACACACATGAGATTCCCCCTAAATCTGAGAAAAGACTAAGGAGATTGATGCTGTCACTGCTTTTGTGCTCTCTTCTGGAAGTGCCACCAATGTCACTAGGCAGGAGAATGAAATAAGAGATACAACTATTAGGAAAATAAGTAAAATGATGAATATTTGCACATTTTATTATTTTCTACCTTGAGAAAAAAAAAACAAGAAATGAATCGAAAACCTGATGGAAATAATAATAGATTCAGTAAGACAGATAGCTTAAAAATAAATATACTAAAATATATAGTTTTTTTTAGGTTTTCAACAATGACCAACTAGAAAATATAACCGATTTTTAAAATTTCATTCATGCCAGCAATAAAAATCAAAAGATAACTAAGGAAAAGCTTTAAAATGTGCAGGATGCCTATGAGAAAGGAACAACAATTTAACTCTTCCGAAGTATTTAACAGAAAAAAAAAAGAGAGAAGTAGTGTGTTTTTGGAGAAGAACATTCAGTTTGGTTAAATACTTTCAGAAGATAATTTGGCAGTGTTATCAAAATGGCAAATGAACATACCTTTTTATGTCCCCTTTCAAAGGACCCTACAGAAATCCTACCACAAAGCACAGAATTATTATACGCAGAATGACTCAAGAATCTTGGACTGAGCAACTGAATAAACAGTCATGTCATTTCCAAAGTTAGCAAAGTTTATCAAATTGACAAATTATCAAAAAATGCCTTAAAAAGTGCTTACTCTTTGAGCTGGCCATTCCATTCTTAGGGATTTCTTCTTAGGAAATATTCCTGGTTATGCTCAGAGTGAGTTTCTGGGAAATTAACTCCGGTGGTATTTCTAATAATGAAAAAATGCAAGCAATTCCAATGTTTAACAATGGAATATTGTGTGGCCCTAGACATTTATGCAGAAAAACATTCAATGATCTGGAAAGAGATACGTGATTATACTGTAACATGAAAAAATCACGTTCTATTACATATAATGTGTACATATAATGAAATTTTGTTGGAAAAAAACTATACGAATAAACATATGCTTAGGAAATAGACTAGCGAGACACAGATCATTGTTGAAAGTGGCTGTCTCTGGGTTACAGGTTTCTGGGTGATTTTAAATTTTCTGTCTATATTTTCTGAATTTTCTCCAATAATCATGTTTTACTTTTGTGTCCTAAGAAACTGCTTTATAAAATGTTTGGTTTTTTTTTTCCTTCTGTGCAAGGTTCTTCTGGGGGCTCTATAGTTCATGTCGTCTGTAAGTCAGTTTTGAGGCCAGGAGTTCGAGACTAGCCTGGCAAACACAGAGAACTCTCATCTCTATAAAAAATAGTAAAATTTGCCAGGCATCGTAATCCAGGATGACTAAGTTCCTTTGACGACTTATGCTGTTTGGCTGACTTTAAACCAGTCACCATTAACCCTGAAGGACCATCGCTTGCTGCTGGTTAATTCACTCCTTCACCAAAGCAGATGTGGGCAAGGTCCCATCCATGACCCTTGGCCAGCACCCTTTCCTTGCTGCCCCAATGCTAGCTGCCCTCATCTGCATGGATAGGGCTATCTTGGGGAGGGGAACTGGAGGCAAAGATTTGACCTTTCAACCAGGAGAAACCTTTAAGCAAAAACTGTCCCTAGTTGGAATGTTGATCACTCCGGTCACTTCCCATCTTGGGTGGCCCCCACGATAGCCCAGTGGGATTGACCGGCGTTCAGCTGCCCACCATAATAATGAGCTTAGGCTCCCTTCCCTTCCTGTCTCACTGCCCTAGTCCCCTGCCTGTCCTGGGATCCCCTTTGAAATAAACTACGTGCTCTGGGATCCTTATCTTGGGGTCTGCTTTCTAGCGACCAAAAGCAAGATAACCTGTATTCCTTATCTACCCCTCCTCAAACCTCCAATTCCTACCCACTTCCACTCTCAGCTGTTGACCTTGCTTTTATTTTGTAAAAGAAAGAGAAGTAATCAGAAGACAGCTTCCCATCCCTCCCCTAACCTGTCCATCTTCTCTCCTGTTACTGACCAATGTCGAAGTGGCTTGGGGGGCAGGTCTGAAAGGGGCATCTCCTTTTTAGGCATTTGAAAAAGGAGAGGACACTGGGTCAGAGTAACAGCACAGGCAAAGCTTTCTGATACCCTTGGCCCAGAGCAGGCCTGTGCTCCAGTGATGAGAGGCAGAAGTGACAAGGAGGCCAGGCTTCCCTGACCACCTGCAGCCTGGCCCAGCCTTTTGTTGGCTGCCTGGGAGGGGAAGGCCTTTGTTGGACAGGGTGCTGACACCAGCCCCAGGCCCTCACCTTGCCACTCTCTTATCAACACTACAGGAGATACCTGAATCTAGTCTTTCAGTTACAACCACAATTGTATTAATAATAATAAACAAAATTATTATCAGAAAATTATCAGATAATTAGCTTTTCTTTAGTACTTAGCATGAGTTTGGTGTGTGTATTAGTCTGCTCAGGCTGCCGTAAGAGAACACCACAGACAGGGGCTTAAACAGTAGAAATTGATTTCTGTCCCGGAGGCTGAAGTCCAAGATTAGGAGCCAGCAGGGCTGCTGTCTGGTGAGGCTGCACTTCCCGGCTTGGAGACAGCCACCTTTTTGCTGTGTCTGTACATGACCTTTCCTCTGTTTACACAAGAAAGAGAGGGAAAGGGCATGGGGGGAAGATCTATCTCAGCTGTCTCTTTTCTTTACTTTTTTTTTTTTGAGATGGGGTCTCACTCTGTCGCCCAGACTAGAGTGCAGTGGCATGATCTCAGCTCACTGCAACCTCTTCCTCCCTCATTCAAGCGATTCTCCTGCCTCAGCCTCCCAAGTAGCTGGGACCACAGGCACACACCACCACGCCCAGCCAATTTTTGTATTTTTAGTAGAGACAGGATTTCACCATGTTGGCCAGGATGGTCTCAATCTCTTGATCTCGATCTCTTGACCTCGTGATCCGCCAGCCTCGGCCTCCCAAAGTGCTAGGATTACAGGCGTGAGGCACCATATGAGCCATCATGCTGGTCCTCTTCTCTTCTTACAAGGACATCAGTCCTATCTGATTAGTCCCTCCCATTCCCCTTATGACCTCATTTAACCCTATGCATTAGTCTGTTCTCACTCTGCTAATAAAGACTGGGTAATTTATAAAGGGAAGAGGTTTAATTGACTCAGTTCCAAAAGGCTGGGGAGGCCTCACAATCATGGCAGAAAGCAAATGAGGAGCAAAGTCACATCTCACAGGGTGGCAGGCAAGAAAGCTTGTGCAGGGAAATCCCGTTGATAAACCCATCAGATCTCATGAGACTTATTCACTACCACGAGAACAGGATGGGGGAAACCACCCTCATGATTTCATCATCGCCACCTGGCCCACCCTTGACATGTGCAGATTGTTACAACTCAAGGTGAGCTTTTGCTGGGGACACAGCCAAACCATATCACCCTAATTACCTCCTTAAAGGCCCTACCTCCAAATACCGTCAAATTGAGGGTTAGGGCCTCAACACATGAATTTGGGGCAGGGTGGGGGGGGGGGAGGGGAACACAATTTTGTCTATAATTACATGGCTTTTTGTGTTTAACATGTATTAACTTTTTTCATATTCATGACAATGTCATAGGGTAGGCATTTTTTAAATGACGAAATGTGGCACAGAAAGCCTTAGTATATTGCTGAAAATCACAGCTAGTCAGGGTGTTGGGAGGATTTGAACCTAGGCACTCTGGCTTCAGAGCCTGTGCTCTTATCCACCCCACCATTCCAAGCCTGGAAGCCCTGAGCTCAGACGACAGAACCGGGGCAGCACTCACAGACCCCACGGTAAACTGGCCACGGAATCATAACCACAGCCCTGTTCCTCTCAGTCAACCTTCACAGCAGTTTGAGGAGTTGAGTGGTCACTGTGCCCATGTTATAAATGAAGAAACTGAGGCTCTGAGAGTCAAGAAAGATGGCACAGGACTCAGACAAGGCTACACGTCACCCTGACTCTCTAACATCTGGCACGTGGCAGATGCTCAGTTAAAATTAAGTGAAGGAGTGAAGGAATGAATGGATGAATGTAGGACACTGCCTGCCCACTCAGTCTGATGTGTGAGTGGCAGAGGCTATGTGTGGATGGGCCAGGAGCTGTGAAAACCTCCTTGCTTTAAGACAAGAGACCATGCTGAACGTGGTGGCTCATGCCTGTAATCCCAGCACTTTGGGAGGCCAAGGCTGGAAGATCACCTGAGGTCAGGAATTTGAGACCAGCCTGACTTACATGGCAAAACCCTGTCTCTACTAAAAATACAAAATTAGCCAGGCATGGCAGTGCATGCCTGTAATCCCAGCTACTTGGGAGGCTAAGGCAGGAGAATTGCTTGAACCCAGGAGGCAGAGGTTGCAGTGAGCTGAGATCACACCATTGCACTCCAGCCTGGGCAACCAGAGCGAAACTCTGTCTCAAAAAATTAAATAAAATAAAAATTAAAAATAAGATAAGCAACCAAGTCAGGATTTGAGGCTCTGAGACACTGAGGGGAGGCTCAGGGCAGAGGTGACTATGTGGGGTGGGGGACACAGGTTCTCTAACAGTTGAGGGTGAATCAGAGCAGGAGATGCTTCTCCAGTTTTGACTCAGTCACCTCCAAAACAGAGCAGAACCCTGGCTCACACAGGATGAGCTTTGGAGTCACAGGGATCAGGGTTTCCTGCCTCTGTGTGTGACTTCGACCGAAGCAATCACCGTCTCTAAATTTCAACTTCCTCCTCTGTCAAATGGAGGTGACAGCTACCAGCCCTAGGGCTGCTGTGAGAACAAAGTCAAGGGGCAGATGTGCGGTCACCTGGCAGGTGGCATGTGTCCTTCCCATTGATGGCTGCTGTTGTCCAGTGGCCAGGCCAGTGTGGTGAGGCCCAAGTGGGTTCAGAATGGGAGCCAGGCAGTGCCGGAACTGTGCCCTTGGCAGGCAGGATAAGCCACAGACAAGTTCAGAGCAAGTCTCTCCCCAAATCAGGGTCTCAGTTTCTCCGTGTGTAACACAAGGCCCCAAATCTCTCCCAGAGCTGACCTTCTAGAAACTCGGTATTCACCAACACATCCGGCAAAGGGAAAGTCGTGAGCCTGCCTGACCATAGGACCACCAAGAGGAGTCACAGAGAGGGGACCTGCTCTGCCCAGTGTCCTCCCACCATAGGTCAAGGTCAAGAGCACACAGAGCCATGATCATCTGATTCCCAGATCCGGCCCGAAGTGAAGGAAAGTGTGCTGGATGTAGAATCAGCACACAGAGGGCCAGTCCTGGATCTGCCACCTACGTCCATGGACATTGGACAAGTCACTTCTTCCATTTCCCCATTTCTTTATGCATAGCATGGGAATAGCCCTTATCTCTTTTAGAAGAAAATGTAGGAGACGCTGTTGGAGTAGTGAAGGATTTCTTAAACAATTCACAGAAAGCATAAACCACAGAGAAAAATCTGACTGCATTAAAACTTAACATTGCTGTAACCAAAAAGCACCAAATCCAAAATTAGCAGAGAGGCCACAGGCTTGGAGAAAATATTTACAATACATATAACTGACAAGGGATCAATATCTATAATACATAAAGAATTTTTACAATCCAATTTCAAAAGCAAATAGAAAAAGAGGCAAAAATATCCACAAGCATTCACAGAAGAAACTCTAAAGCCCAATCAATTTATAAACACATGCTCAGCTTCGCTGTCGACCAGGGAAATGCAAATTTAAGCAATTGAAAGACTATTTCATAAACATCAGGTTGGGGAAAAAAAATCTAACGAAATGTTGCAGAGGAGGTGGGAAAGACAGGAGCTTTTAGGAAAGGAGTGCTGATACTCTGACCTGGGAGAGCAATTTGTCAATATCTAGTGAAGCTGGACGTGTCCATGCCCTGGGGCCTCATGATCCAACAAGTCCAGTTTCAGATAAATATCCCAAAAGAGTAATTCCTATACATGGGCTCATAATTTGCACTGCAGCCCTGATATTATTGGGAAGATAAAGAGAACAAGCTAAATGCCTATCAGTAGAAGATTGGGTAAGTCAATTTTAAATCCTTCTTACATTAGAATACGAATTGAAGACCAATGAACTAGATTGACTTGTAAAAAGGTGAATAAATCCTAAAAGCACATGTCAAGTTACAGTAAGTTGCAAAAGGACACATACACTATTATTCTACATAAATGTCAAAAGCCCACCTAACAGAGCTGTATGTTCTTTGTGACCATACATAGTCCAGTAAGTTCTTAACCATGAGGAAGACATGTGCCTTTAAAACATGGGTAGCGACAGCGGTTACCTTTGAGTATTGGAATAAGGAAGGCTCTGACTGTACTGATAATGTTTCATTTCTTTAGAAGAATTTTTATTTAATTTTCTTTCTTTCTCCGAGTGGGGGTGAAGGGAGGAAGAGAGAGAGAAAGAAACTAGGACAAACGTAGCAACACAGTAACATCTGCTAAACCTTGGTGGTAGATTCGTAAGCATTATTTCATCATACTAATCTCTGCACTTTTCTGGGTGGTTGTAACATTTCTGAATTTTAGATAAAAATTGTTGGGGTGATAGAAATGTTCTGTGTTTTTATTGTGGTGAGAGTTCTATGAATGTGGACATCTGTGAAAGCGCATTGAATTGGACACCTGAAATAGGTGCATTTTATGGGTCTTTTTTTATATATGTTATTTTATTTTATTTTATTTCACACAGAGTCTTGCTCTGTTACCCAGGTTGGAGTGCAGTGGCATGATCTCGGCTCACTGCAGCCTCCACCTCCCGGGTTCAAGCAATTTTGCCTCAGCCTCCCCAGTAGCTGAGATTACAGGCATGCACCACCATGCCTCGCTAATTTTTACATTTTTAGTAGAGACACAGTTTTACCTTGTTAGCCAGGTTTTTTATTTTGTTTTGTTTTTTCTTTTTGTATTTTTAGTGGAGATGGGGTTTCACCATGTTGGCCAGGCTGGTCTGGAACTCCTGACTTCAGGTGATCCACCCCCCGCAGCCTTCCAAAGTGCTAGGACTACAGGCATGAGCCACCATGCCCAGCCTGGTGCATTTTATCATACATCAATTATACCCCAATAAAGTTGATTCTAAAAGAAGAAACAATTAAATGTTGGCTGGTCAGCACTCAGTGTCTCCAGTGGCACCAGTTCCAGACGGAAGCAGAGGTAGGAGAGACTTAACAGGCGATGTTTCAGTGTTTAGGGTCTGTCCCCCAAATTGGGGCCTTCAGGCCACCCAAGACTTCATGGCAAATGCGACACCTTTGCTTTGGGGTCAGAGCGGGCAGAGCTTTCCTCATAGGGTTTGCCGAGTCTAATTTTAGAGCTTTGGAGGGTGGAGGAAGAGCTGGCTCTGCTTCTGCAATGAGCTCGTCATGTTTCTTGGCACCTCGATATTCTCTCCATTTAATTTTTCAGAAGCACCAACAAATCAGGAAAGAAGTGTGCCCAAAGAAATTGCTATTTGGATGAACGTGACATTTGTCGGCCAGCGACGGAAGCTGGAGGAGCAGTTGTGTTTGCAACGCATAACCTCATCTCACAGCCCAGACTCCCAAACACTGCACACACTTGTGGGCGGAGCAGTCGCCTGGGTGGAAAAACACAGCCGAACAGACAGGCTCTGAGCGAGGCAGGGAAGGAAAGAGGAAGGGAGGGAGGACAGGCGCACCAGCTAACATACACCAAACGCTTAGGCCAGGCCCACTGCCATTTCATCCTCAAAACACATACATTACCCCCCACTCTAGAGATGAGGAAACAAGCTCAGAAAGGGAAGGGGTTCTTTTGCCAAGAGCACGAAACTAAGAAGTAGCCAGATTGAATCCCGCCCGGTCTGGTTGGCGTGAAATTCCTTGTCTATAGCAAGGAGAAAGAGCTCAGTAAATGATGCTTCCTTTTTATCTTTCTGTCCCTCCTTTTTCTTCCTTCCTGAGGAAACTGAGGCCCAGAGAGATTACAGGATGTGCCAGGACCACCTAGGGTGGTAACTAATTGGATGGCGAAGCTGAGGAAGATGGGAGAATCCAAAATGAGTCTCAGGCTTCCACCACGCACAGAGAGGAGAAGCCTTCGTGGGAAAGAGGCGGTCAGATGTGAAGGGAGGTGTTGGGTCGGAGGTATCTTTGGAGCAACCTATAAAGATGTCCTGAGACAACCAGGTTGCGGGCTCTCTAAACTTGTGGAAAGAGAGGCAGGCTGGAAAGATGGGGAGCCTCTAAACATGAGCCTCGCTGTGATGAGACTTCCTTCTCAGAGCCTAGGAGAACCTCTCAATGCAAAAATGAATAAGGACTTCAGACTGCCTGACCGCCAAGAGGTAAAGGGGGAATCTCAGAAAACAGTATACAAACTAAAGAAGCATACTTGACAGGTGCAGTGGCTCGCACCTACGATCCCAATGCTTTGGGAGGCTTAGGCGGAGGACCACTTGGGGCCAGAAGTTCTAGACTAGTCTGGGCAACATAGCAAGACTTTGTGTCTCCAAAAAATTGAAAAATTAGCCAGATGTGGTGGCATGTACCTGTAGTCCTAGGTACTTGGGGTGGGGGGCGGCTAAGCAGGAGCATCACTCAAACCCAGGAGTTGAAGGCTGCAGTGAGGTAGGATTGTCCCAATGTACTTCAGCAACAGAGCAAGGTGAAGGAAGGAAGGAAGGGAGGGAGGGAAGGAAAGAAAGGAAAGGAAGGGAGGGAAGGGAGGAAGGAAGGGAGGGAAGGAAAGGAGGAAGGGAGAAAGGGAGGGAGGGAAGGGAGGGAAGGAAGAGAGGGATGAAAGGAAGGGAGGAAAGGGAGGGAAGGAAGAAGGGAAGGGAAGGAAGGGAGGAAGGGAGGGAGGAAGGAAGGAAGAGAGGGAGGAAGGAAGGGAGGAGGAAGGAAAGAAGGAAGGAAGGTAGGGAGGAGGAATGAAGGAAGGTGGGGAGGGAGGAAGGAAGGAAGAGAGGGAGGAAGGGAGGGAGGAAGGAAGGGAGGAGGAAGGAAAGAAGGAAGGAAGGTAGGGAGGAGGAATGAAGGAAGGTGGGGAGGGAGGAAGGAAGGAAAGAAGGAAGAAAGGAAGGAAGGAAGGAAGGAAGGAAGGAAGGAAGGAAGGAAGGAAGGAAGGAAGGAAGAAGGAAGGCAGGAAGGAAGGAAGGAAGGAGAAAACCACTGAACTTACCTAACAAGGCTATTTCACCGATGGGCGAACTGAGACCCAAAGAAAGGAAAGAACTTTCCCAAGACCACCCAGCAATATAGCCAAGCCCATACTGAAGCTATGGTCTGGAGTCAGTTCCCGGACTTGGATTTCATGAAATCTGAAACCTTAAAGGTAAGAAGAGTATATGACCTTATATTTTCATTCCCAGCAGAGAGAGATGAAGCCCAGAGATGTTAAGTAACTTGTTCTGGTCACACAGTCAAGACAAGGACCGCAGTGTTCTTTCCACTGCATATCCTGAAGAAAGTGGTCCATCCGAGTGGAGCAGAAAAAAGAGGCAGCTGAAAATCCCAACCCAATGGTGAGCCACTACTTCTGTTATATTTATCCTATTTCCAATAGACAGAGAAGAATATCACATTTATATATAGTGGAACTTATAACAACACCTGCTTTAAATGTTGGTGAGTTTTTGGCTTAAGAATGAGAGAGAAAAAAAATAACAAAATTTTAAACCCTGCATAGTTGTTCCAATTAAGTTCAATTAAACATACCCTCAGGTAGAGTAGACATGGTAGAGTAGACATGGTGGAGTAGACACGGTGGAGTAAACACGGTGGAGTAGACACGGTGGAGTAGACACGGTGGAGTAGACACGGTGGAGTAGACACGGTGGAGTAGACACGGTGGAGTAGACATGGTAAAGTAGATATGGTGAGCGACGCCTTATAGAATCCAATCTCTCTGACGAACACACTCGCCAGCGTAGAGCAAGGAGGTTATTATTTCGTTTGTTGAAAAGGAATGCAGTGTAGTGGAAAAGATACAAAATTTAGAGCTGAACAGATCTAATCCACATCAACTCACTGCCTTGGATGAGTGAAAGCTACTAGAAAATGGGCATAATAATTCCTATCGCAATAGGCTGCTGGAGGATTAAATGAGGTAATGCAAGGAAAGGGTGATAGGAAAATGTGCTGCAAAGAGTAATTACAGCTGCTTTTGAAATATGGAATTGAACAACTAAATTATTTGGTGAGGTTTCCTCTAAAATTATCTGAAACATCTGAGGAAAGATGGGAAGGTAAATGCAGGCTCACTCAATGTCCCTCTCCACAAACTGCATAGAATGACAGCCACAAATAGACATACACTTTTTTTTTTTTTTTTTTTTTGAGACAGAGTCTCCCTCCATCACCAGGCTGGAGGGAAGGATGTGATCTTGGACTCACTGCAACCTCCAACTCCCTGGTTCAAGTGATTTTCCTGCCTCAGTCTCCCGAGTAGCTGAGATTACAGTCACACACCACCATGCCCAGCTAATTTTGGATTTTTAGTAGAGATGGGGTTTTACCATGTTGCCCAAGATGGTCTCGATCTCCTGACCTTGTGATCCACCCACCTCTGCCTCCCAAAGTGCTGGGATTATAGGCTTGAGCCACCATGCCCGGCCAGACATACACTTCTAAATGACCAAGAATAGCAGTTCTGACACCAGTCATGGGGCCTGCTATGTCTTGAAGGTATGTGTTGCTTCAGAATTTATACATTGGAACTTAATCCCCAAGTATTAAAAGATGGGGCCTTCGAGAGGTGATTAAGTCATGAGAGCTCCGCCATCATGAATGAAATGAGCACTCTTAGAAAAGGGCTCAAGGGAACTCACCAGGCCCTTTTCTCGTTCTTCCATCTCTTCACAGCTTTCATCTCTTTTGCCCTTTTCATCCTCTCGCCTTGTGAGAATGCAGCAAGTAGGTTCTCACAATACATAAAATGCCTGTGCCTTGATCTTGGACTTCCCAGCCTCCAGAACTATAAGAAATCTATTCCTGTTCTTTAAAAATTATCAAGTCTCAGATATTTTGTTATAGCAGCACAGACAGACAAGACAGGGTTCAACCACATGGGCTGAATTTTGAAAAGATCTTCCTAAAAGGAAAGTTCAGACCAAATTGGAAGGAGACTCAGAGCAGACATGCTGCTCATCTCTGCAATGGTGAAATGTCGAATGAAATTCAGAGGAACCTCATGACATCACCTCGTCTGGTGAGATGGAGACAGGGAGAATGCACAGCCCAAGAGAGAAGCCGGGGAATGTTGATCTGGAAAAGGATTTTTCAGCTTGGCACTATTGACACTTTGAATGAAATCACTCTCTGTTGCTGGCGACTGTCCTGTGTGGTATGACCTCAGCATCCCTGGCTTCAACTCACTTCATGCCAGCAGCAAGCCCTGCCAAGTTGTGCCAACCAAAGATGTCTCCATTCTTTGCCAAGGGTCCCCTGGTCATAGGGGAACAAATTGTCCCCAGATGAGAATCACCAGTCTAGAAGACCCTTTTTTATTCCAGAAAGTAGGGAGTTGGCCAAACCCAGACAAACCCATGCTACTTGCCTCTAACCGAGAGGGAAGCAGAACTCTTTCAAGGAGGTAAACACCAAGATAACACTGACTGCAAACAAAGCCCACAGAATGGAGAGAGAAAACATCTCCCATGAGAGAGGTAGCCCAGGGGGAGATGTGGAGTGTAAAGAATGACCCACCATTTTTACGGCTGCGTAGTATTCCATGGTGTCTCAGCAAACTGACATGAGAACAGAAAGCCAAACACCACATGTTCTCACTCATAGGTGGGTGTTGAACAATGAGAACACGTGGAGTCAGGGAGAGGAGGATCACACACTGGGGGCAGTTGAAGGGGGGTAGGGGAGAGACAGCAAGGGATGGGGAGGGAGGGGAGGGAGGGGAGGATGGAGAGGGATAACATGGGGAGAAATGCCAAAATTATAAAAAATAATAATAAATAAATAATTTTTAAAATAATAATAAAAAAAGAACGACCCACGTGGCCTCCTTCCCTCACTGCGAATATACAAACGAGCCAGAGTCCACAGACTGCAATCTCATGAGAAGGCAGAAGAGCTTGGCTGCACTCATGGCCTGGAATTGATTGTTCTTACAGTGAAGACATGTCCTCAAAAGCTGGTCTCTCTCTCTCTCTCTGAAACTGGGGATGACCTGAAATCAAGGGTGTCCCTCCTTCCTACCACCCCCGATTGGATGTTTCCCCAACCAGGAAGGGCAACTTCCCTGCAGGGCGGTAAGCCATGTACTGAAGAGAGGAAGTCATAGAAGTTTCACATATCACCATTGTCCCAGCCCCAGTGGAGCCTTCTAGGCAACAGAAGAGCAGACTTGAAGCTCAAGATCAGAGAGGTACAGCGAAGAGCCAGGGAAACGGGAGGAAGCCAGGGAGACTCAAGTGTCCCATATTTGGGCAAACAATACACCAGATAAAACCACCCTGCCTCAAAGATAAGCTGGAATAACAGCAGCAACCACAAAAATAACATCAAAGCTACCGACATTTTCAAAAAACAACAGGAAAGGAAGAAATAGATCATGCTAAATGTTAAGATTTCATGTTGGAAGAAGACGTTTTAGAAACGTTAAAAAAAAATGAGACCACAGATGTATCATAGTCTCAGAGAAGCAAAAGATGAGATGATAATTTAACAGGATGCGATCGGGAGAATTGCAGAGCCAAAGTAAAAAGTTGTGAACCAGAATAATTGTATTATGCTCCTATTAAGTAGATCAGAAACGGCCAGGACAGATCCGACAACAGCAGGAACATAAAGAGGGAGAATTCAAGATAAGATAATAGAAAAATCACCCAAAATGCTAAGGAAAAGGTTGGAGAGTTAGAAACAATTGAGAGAAGGTGACTGTTATGTTTGATACACAACAGAGGTAAATATACCGATAAGTAGCATCCTTAAAGGAGAGAACAGAAAAAAGTGTGGCATGGAAAGAATCCATCAGATACTAAAGAAAAAATACTGAATGTGAAGACTGAAAAATTATATGGCTTTCAAAAAAAAACATTAGTAGAGAAAGAGGAAAATCTAGACATATTGTGATAAAGACTTTCAACTTAAGCATTTAAAAAGGATAATTATGTAAGTGCCTAGCCAGTATTACCAAGTTATCGATTAAAGGGAGGATATCAGGCTGCCCTCACTGATTTCTCCATATTAGTATTTCATATCAGAAGACCAGCATAACATCTGCAAAGGTTTGAGGGAATAAAAATACGACTTAAGAAGTTTATGCCCAATAAACTGATGTGAGGCTTTTGTGTTTTTGTCATTGTTTCTCAGATTTTTTCCCCTTCTACAAAATTCATTGTATCTATATAAGGTATACAATATAATGCTTTGATGTAGATATACCCAATGGAATAAATATTACGGTCAAGTAAATTAACCTATTCATCATCTCACATAATTTTCTGTGTGTGCAGTAAAGTACCTAAATTCAGGGACTGCAGGATTCAGCAACATTTCCTTTAAAAAATGCTTTTTAATAATAAAGCCCAGACAACAAAGAGATAATGAAAGAAGTCAAGAACAGGGAAGCTATTGAAGGAAAGGGAAAGAAGAGGTTAAGACGTGAATCTTGGGCCCAGCACAACGGCTCATACCTGTAATCTCAGTATTTTGGGAGGCTGAAGCAGGAGGATCACTTGAGCCCAGGAGTTCGAGATCAGCCTAGACAACATAGAGAAACCCAGTTTCCACAAAAATTTAAAAATTAGCTGGGTGTGATGGTGCATGTCTGTAGCACCAGCTACTCAGGAGGCTGAGGTAGGAGAATCACGTCAGCCACAGAAGTGGAGGCTGCAGTGAGCTGTGACTGCAGACCGTACTCCAGTCCGGGTGACAGAGTAAGACCCTGTCTCAGAAAAAAAACAAAAAAAAGTGAATCTTGGATCCTTTTAAATATAAAATCAACCCTCAATAACTGTGAAACTTAAGTCAAAACTAGAACTCCTCAAAGAAAATCTATATTATGTAAAAATAGTTAATTAAAATAGAATACTTATAATAGCCTATAATAAAAATCTAAGATCATAACAAAGTTTAAATAAGGAGGAAGCATGAATCCACAGATCTTGTAATCTTTTATGGTGGAGAGTCACTATACACTGTTATACATTGTTTTATATCTTGAGCTGAGAAATCAAAAAAAGACAGATAAATATATCGTTTTAGAAAGTAAAAACGTGATGAACTATATCAGTAAATGATTGGTTAAGATGGGACAGGAGGGAGTGAGAGAAAAGGAAAGGACTGGGAAGGGATGGAAAAAAAAGATTTCTGAGAACCTGCCAGGCAAATAGGAACTAAAATAATTATGATTCATGACATTAATAGCAACAAAGTTGAAATGAAACCAAAAATTATTAGATGAGACAAAGCATCACCCATGATGATAAAGGATAGAAAACACAATGAGAATGATTGTCATTACATGCAAAGCAGGCCAGGAAAAAATAAATTTTAAAAAAATGATTGTCATGACATCATTCCGGATAATATAACATCAAAAGACAAGAAGCAAAAACTCTTAGTTACAATGTGAAATCAAGAGAAACACAAAGGTAGAAAACTCTAACTCCCTTCTCTCAGAAATAGTTAAAGCCATAAATACTTTAAATAATATAATTAATGACAATGATCAAATATGTATGTATATAATATAATAAAATCTGTCCACAGAAAACAGAGAATATTCCTTTTCTTCACATGCCAGTGGAATATTTGACATGTGCTAGGCTACAAAGGAATGTAAAAAATCTAAAGGTAAATAAAATACAATTCCTAAGCTCTAACCTTGATGCAATAGGAGCATAAATTAATAGTAAAGGCAAACAAAAAAATTAAAAATCAGACATTTCTCCCCAAACAACTCCTGGCTGAAAGAAGAAGTAAACAGCTAAAGCTGTATTTGGAAGAAAATTAATAGACTTAAACAGTTACATTCCTACAAACACTCACAGATATTGCTCAGGTTTCAACAGTCTGTGGCCAGAAAGTAATTTTAAGATGCAAATTACTGCCAGGCCAGTGGCTCACGCCTGTAATCCCAGCACTTTGGGAGGCCTAGGTGGGTGGATCACAAGGTCAAGAGATCGAGACCATCCTGGCCAACGTGGTGAAACCCCATCTCTACTAAAAATACAAAAAGTAGCTGGATGTGGTGGGTGATACATGCCTGTAGTCCCAGCTACTCTGGAGGCTGAGGCAGGAGAATCACTTGAACCTGGGAGGCAGAGGTTGCAGTGAGCTGAGATTGCGCCAGTGCACTCCAGCCTGGTGACAGAGCAAGGCTCTGATTAAAAAAAAAAAAAAAAAGATGTAAATTACTATGCCACTTAGCCATCCCAACATAGTCTATCCTTTTGCAAGTTTCCCCATAAAAACAATTCTCCAAATCCCCGAGGAATGTCTGATTCTGTTCCATAAGTTCCTTCTGATCATCACCATCCTCTCTCCCCTTCTCCGTTTCCCTCTCCCCTCCTTCCTCCCTGCCTCTGCCTTCCCTTCCTCCCTCTTCCCTCTCTCACACTTCTTCTCTCCCTCCCTTCACCTCTCTTTCCCTTTTCTTATTCTCTTCCCTCCCATCCTCTCTTCTTCCCTCCTTTCCTCCCTCCCTTTCTCTCTCTTTCTTTCTCTCTTTCCTTTTCTCTCCCTCCCTCCATCTTTCTTCCCTCCCCTTCCTCTTAGTCCTCTTCCCCCGCCCCTTCCCTGCCGGTGGTTAGCAACCACCAGAGAGCTTTATGCAATGATGGAATTGTTCTATGCCTTGACTGTGTGCTGATTACACGAATATATATATCTGTCAAAACTCATAGAACTGCACACTCTCCAAATAAAGTCAATTTTACTATATGATAAAATACAATTTCAAAAATATAATTAAGGAATAAAAAGAGTGTTCCAGAGAATTTAGAAAAAAGACTTTTTTGAATTTTAAATAAAGCAGACATAAAAGTAGCACTAAAAGCTGAAAAACAACAAGAAAAAAGTAAATTGATCCGAAACATTAAATCAAATATTAATGAATCACTTACATAATACGTCCCAGCCAGGGTTTGCACCAAGACTAGAAGGATAGTACAACGTTAGGAACTCTATATGATTTACCGTATCAACGGGTTAAAATAGAAAAATGACAAGGTCATCTCCCTACATGCCCCCCAAAAGATATTTGGCAAAATGAAATATCAATTTAAAATGAAAAAGTTAAAAATAATTTTATAACGTTATTAAATATCTAGATGACTAAATACCCAGATGGTTAGCTATCTATAGATAACTATGGATGGAGACATACTTACGTCTCCAATAACTAACATCTTACTCAAAACTTCAGCCAAGGGAGCATTTCTTCTGATAAAGCAGAAACAGAATCAGGGCATCCACAAGTAAATAAGAAATTAACATAAGAGGGGGCAGGCGTGGTGGCTCATACCTGTAGTCCCAGCAGTTTGGGAGGCCGATGAGGCAAGATGATCACTTGAATCCAGGAGTTCAAGACCAGCCTGGGGCCAACATAGCGAGACTCATCTCTGCAGAAAAAAATAAATAAAAATAAAATAAGATATGACTTTTGGAAAAAAGGCAGCAAAACATTTATATATTATATAATTAACTTCCTAGAAAACCTGAGAGAGTCAACTGATAAACCATTAGAAACAACATAATTCAATATAATATGATAATACGGGAATAACAATATAGTAAGTTAGAAAAATGTATACAATAGAACAGCTCAGGAAATGGCTCCTTACAACAATTTTAAATAATAGCTCACATTTGTTAAGGACTTACTATGTAGCGGGACATTTCCATGAAATAGATGCTATTTTTACCCTTACGGTATAAATGAAGAAACAGGCTCAGAGAGGTGATGTCACCAGCCTGCATTCAAACAGCTTCGAATATCAGCACCAGGATGAGAACCCAGGTGGTCCTATTCCAAAGCCCATGTGTTTACCCAGCAGGGACCACTTCCTCCCACTGTACTCTGACGTATATAAGTAATAGCTAGTTAGAAAATATAATGGAATAAAAGATTCATTTCCCAATATCCAAAAAAAAAAGAAAATTCTTAGGAATGAACATAATAAGAAACGTGCAGAGCCTGTAACGCAGAGAAATGTAAAGTACAGCTTAGAAACATAATAGATAAGAAAAGACTGCATGAATAGTGATAGGTACCTTTTATGTAGATCTAACACCATAAAAATAGATATTCTCCTCAAAATACTCTAAACTTTAATGTAATCCAAATTAAAATATCAAAAAAAGTTTGGGATTTTAATAAAAAATAATACTAAATCCTGCCCCCAAAAATAAATGTATAATGCTGTAAAGATCTTTTAAAAAGAGCATTAAAGGGGGCTTCTCCTTACCAGATATTTAAAACTTACTGTAGTATTATAAAACTACAGTCATCAATAACAGATTGTATTGCCTAAAGACACAGACAAATGAGTGAGACAGAATGGATAATCAAAATTAGACCCAAGTGTATACCGAAGTTTAATTTGTAATAAAGGCAGCAGTTTGAAATAGTCAAAAGTTTATGGATTATACAAAAAGATATAGAGGCAAGGCGCAGTGGCTCATACCTATAATCCCAGCATGTTGCCAAGGTGGGTAGATTGCTTGATGTCAGGGGATTGAGACCATCCTGGCCAACATGGTGAAACCCCATCTCTACTAAAAATACAAAAATTAGCTGGGCATGGTGGCGGGCACCTATAATTCCAGCTACTCAGGAGGCTGAGACAGGAGAATCACTTGAACCCAGGAGGCAGAGGTTGCAGTGAGCCGAGATTGCACCACTGCCTTCCAGCTTGGATGACAGAGGGAGACTTCGTCCAGAAAAAAAAGAAAAGATGTTGGGATAAACAGCTATGCATTTGGAAGGAAAAAATATTCCAAATTTCCTTTAAATACCAAAATGTATTCCAGAGAGATGAGTGATGTATATATTTTTCAAATGTTTAAAATGGTAGGAAAAAGATATCTATATAAAACTTGGGGAATATAAAACCCTAAAAAAGAAGTCTTATTGTATTACATAAAAATGTTAAATTGTAACATATACCATAAGCAAAATCAAAAGATAATTGGTTACAAATAGCCAAGATCCAACATCTCTATAATACAAAAAACTCATATCAAGAAGAGAATAGCCGAATTTAGTAGAAGAATGGGCAAAATAAATGAACAAGAAGAAAAGATACTCAACCTTGTTAATGATTAGAGTTCAGTCTTTTTGAGACAGGTCTTATTCCGTCGCCCAGGCTGAAAACAAGATTTTGATCATCAACTAGGTAATGATAGAAATGAATTATAAAATAGGACTCCATGAGCTCCTTCTGTTATACATATACCCGTACATACATGAAGAAAAAGGAAAAGATTTTTCTTACAATAGAATACCAGCTCATAGGTGTCGAAGAAATGAGAATAGAAAAATTACCATTTGGCCAATATCACAAAGGTGAGTGATCCAGAAGTCATCCATGAAGGGGGTTTAACAAGGAACAGAAAATATTGGCATCATCTCAGAAAACTTCCACACAACATACTGATCAATTACAAAAGGAAAATGGTGAGTTTGTGGTGGCAAAACCTTAGGCCGGGCTCTGTAGCTCACGCCTGTAATCCCAGCACTTTGGGAGGCCAAGGCAGGTAGAACACTTGAGGCCAGGAGTTTGAGACCACCCTGGCCAACGTGGTGAAACACCATCTCTCCTAAATATATAAAAAAAATAGCTGGGCATGGTGGTGGGCACCTGTAATCCCAGCTACCTGGAGGGCTGAAGCAGGAGAATCTCTTGAACCCGGAAGGCGGAGATTGCAATAAGCTGAGATGGTGTGATTGCACTCCAGCCTGGGCAACAAGAGTGAAGCTCTGTCTCAAAAATTAATTAATTAATAAAAATTAAATAAATAATTAATTTTAAAAATGAAGTATATGGTGGGGAAAGCTGGCAGGCACCAAGATGACCTGGTACTTGAGGCTAACACCTCCACAGATGGCCACTGTCTTGTGCCTCCTGAAATAATGCACTGAAATCACACAGCATCATCCTGCAGCCTTCCTGCCCAGGAACATGAGCTGAGTGTGGACACAGTAAACTTCAGATGGATCTGAGTTGAGTGTCGTTCTAGAAAATGGAACCCTTTAAAACCGTTGAGAAGTCAAAAACGGGGCAAAATGAGGAGCTGTTCCAGCTTGAAGGAAACTGAAAACACACAAGAACTAAATGCAATACATGTTCTTGAAGAAGATTCTGGACCAGAGGGAAAAGACACATTGTTGGGATGCTGGAATAGGGTGCATGGATTGGATGGTGGTGTTTGCACTGACGCTGATTTCTTGATTTGGAGGGTTGCATCAGGGTTAGGTAGAGAATGAACTTGGTCTGCTGAAATACACACACAACTGTGTTTAGAGATGATGGAATATTATGTCTGCAGTTTGCTTTCCAAAGATTCAGAAAAAGAATAATGGAGTGGTGGGGGGGCGGGGAGAGAGCGAGAGTGAGCACACCCGCACAGGCCAGAACTGGATAAAATGTTAAGAATTTGATGATCTGGATGAGGGGTATATGGTAGTTCTGTGTATTGTTCTAACAATTTTTCCACAAGCTTGAAATTGCTCAAAATATATTATCTTTTGAAATATTCAAAAGAACAAAAATCCTATTAGAAATTTAGTAGAAAGAATTATAGAAGCACCTTTGGCATATTTCAAATAGGCCTGATTTTTGTTGAATAAAGTGTGTTCAAATCCATTAAATAAATAAACACTCCATGTTAGTGAGGGAACAGATAAAAAAGATTCTGTGGTGTTAGGTTTGTAATTTGGTACAATCTAAATAGGCCTTTCTTTGAGTCTAAGAAATGCATAAAGAAGCATGCAAAGATATATACGTTATGAGGAAGTTTGGGGTAGAACAGGTTTGAAAAATAAGGAACAACCCAAGTACCTGTGAGTGGCCACCGAAAAATTCCATCACGTCCCTACGACTTAGTCCTCTGGCACCCTGAACAATGCAGCATTGTGGAATGAACATACAAAGGTGTTCGCAATTCATTTTTTGAATAACAAATGTATGTATTTATTAATTTGGTCAGTAGCTCAGCAAATAATTGTTGAATCCTATTATGTACGAATTGTTGGATAAGGTGCATTCTATTTAAAAAGATTTATAAAGCCCTGTATTTTCTTTTCTGAAACTCTAATTTCTAATTGAGGAAACAAACATACAGACAAATAATATTTATGACATCTTCAGTGAAAAGTACAGGCTGGGGCTGGGCGTGGTGGCTCTCTCCTATAATCCCAGCATTTTGGGAGGCCGAGGTGGGTGGATCACCTGAGGCCAGGAGTTTGAGACCAACCTGGCCAACATGGTATAACCCCATCTCTACCAAAAGTACAAATATTAGACAGGTGTGGTGGCAGGTGCCTGCAGTCCCAGGGAGGCTGAGGCAGGAGAATCGCTTGAACCCGGGAGGTGGAGGTTGCAGTAAGCCGAGCTCTCAAGGCTGGGTGACAGAGCAAGACTCAGTCTCAAAAAAAAAAAAAGAAGAAGTACAAATTGTAGAACAATTTTCACAGAATGCCATTTGGAAAAAGAAATTCTATGAACAGTAACGCATGTGAGTATATGCGTGGAGACAAAAAACACAGTGGGTCGAATACATTGTTAGTGGTTTTCTCTGGGAATGAGTAAATATGGGGAAAATTTCACTTTCCATAGTGTTTTGGAATTTTTACAATGAGCATGTATTGCATGTATAACCTGGGGTGTTACAAGCAATAAAAATATCCTGACTAGGAAGAAACAAACTTCATGTTGCGTGAAGACAAAATAAGGAAAAGCTGGGTCTCTGCCTCTAATGCTGAGCTGCAGCTCTGCCCCAAGAGCGATGGGTCCAAATTATTATTAATTGCAGTTGTAGGCCTAAGCACTTTGCCATGTCTGCAATTTTAGAAAGTAAACAAACATCTTGTTCTCAAGATAATCCTGAACTGTTTATATTTGGTCTTCCTGAGAAAGGACGTTTTGTGACTCACAGGGCTGCAGGGAGGAAGGGCAGGCCCTTCCCTGATCTCAGGTTTGCCTGCTGGTGGGAGGCCTGCCCTGGGGATCAGCCCCTGTTGCCCACCCCTACCTCCCCCCCACCAGTTTTAGCCATGGAAGGGCCTCTGGTCATGAGAACTTCACTATGCCCTGGGGTCCAAGCCCCTCTCTGCTCACCCCTAACCCCATGAATGACAGGGGACCTTCTTGGAAGGAACTGGTAAACTTGGGAGGTGGAAAAAAATCATATCTGTCTCTTCAGCACCACTTCCTAACTGAAAGTTAGCCTTCCTTCCCCCGAGAATGTCGACAGCAAACCACAGTAGTATTAGTGGCGTTCTTGACTTTGTCACCAAAAGAAGCACAGATGTTTTCATATCGCATTACAGTCATTGCTACTACCTCCAGAGATCGTTTATACCCAGGACCACTTCAAAGCTAAGATGCTGATTAGACCCGTCCCCAGTTCTCGTTATTTAGTGCATTAATGAAGAAATACATTTGTTACTGTATCCGAAGCATTTTTTAAAATATTTTGATAACTGTTTCAACATAATCGAAATTCTTTGTAATCTAATGTATTTTTATTCTGTGCATTTAGAAGACCTGTTCAGAGAAGAGGCCCATGGCTCAGAAAGGTCAGGAGTCTTTGATCATGAGGATTGTAAAGGGGTGAGAGTCCCAGGAGGCCTAATGGGTGGCTCCCAAACCCCAGAAACAGCCAGCCTTTCACAACTCCACACTGCACGAAAACCCCGGAAACAGCCAGCCTTTCACAACTCCACACTGCACGAAAACCCCGGAAACAGCCAGCCTTTCACAACTCCACACTGCACGAAAACCCCGGAAACAGCCAGCCTTTCACAACTCCACACTGCACGAAAACCCCGGAAACAGCCAGCCTTTCACAACTCCACACTGCACGAAAACCCCGGAAACAGCCAGCCTTTCACAACTCCACACTGCACGAAAACCCGAGTTTGAGCCGGGCACAGTGGCTCAGCACTCTGGGAGGCTGAGGCGGGTGGATCACCTGAGGTCAGGAGTCCAAGACCAGTCTGCAACATGGTGAAACCCTATCTCTACTGAAAACACAAAAATTAGCCAGGCGGGGTGGCATGTGTCTGTAATCCCAGCTACTTGGGAGGCTGAGACAGGAGAATAGCTTGAACCCAGGAAGCGGAGGTTGCAGTGAGCCGAGATCACACCATTGCACTCCAGCCTGGGAGATAGAGTAAGACTCCATCTCAACAAACAAAAAAAAAGGGGGTGGAAAACCTGAGTTTTCACTTTCTCCAACAAAATGCTGGCAACACTGCACCTGCCCCACCCGGGATCCAGCTCCTAGGATGAGTAGAGGCTGCTCCTCCAGCCAGGGAGCAGCCTGCAGTATTCCGTAGTGCCCAGGCCCTGGCATGCACCATCATCACACAGTGCCAGGCCTACCATCCACAACGTCTCAGAGCTGTGCACCCACCAGATCTACTTGTCTCCTGGTTCCTCTGTAACCCTTAATCAAAGTCCACCCACCCATTTTCCAGGTGCCATAGTTGTAGTCTGAGAGGTGGGGAACCAGGATGGCGGAGCTAAGTTAGCGGCACCCCCAGAATCACCCTGACTCCAGGCCCCTTCTTCCCATTGGCCAGGCTGTTCTCCCTGGAGGATCCCATACTGCCTCTCTTACATTCCACAGGCGTCCTCGAGAGGGGACACAGCTGCAGGTCCTATGGTCTTGCACACTCATTGCAGTGCCCCGTGCCTTACTTTCTTCATCTGTAAAATGGGTATGGTTTTACCAGGTCTGGGACAAAGTGCAAAATTTAAGGAGGTGCTCACTAGCCTGAACTTGGGTGTTCCTTCCTGCCCAGGGATATAAGGGGCTCATGGGAAAAAAAGAATAGGAAAGAAGTCCACATGGGTGCGGGAGGTAGTCGCATCCACTCTGCTGCATTGTCTTTCATACAGCTCAGCCCCAGCATCCTTTCTGCAAAGCAGAGCTCGTGCCGGACACAGTGGCTCATGCCTGTAATCCCAGCACTTTGGGAGGCCAAGGGGGGTAGATCGAGACCAGCCTGAGCAACATAGTGAGATTGTGTCTCCCAAAAAAAAAAAAAAGGCAGAGTTCACTCCCATTCCTCTTATGCTCCCTTGTGCCCCCCTACTCAGCCACTTCCCTGCCTGGACTGACAACCACGTGCATCTGGATGCATTCACCCACACAGAGGGAGAGTGTGATTTGCTACCATCACAGCAAAAAATAACTTGGCAGCAGCATCAGCTAGAATCTTAAATGTCCTGCCCTTTGACCTAGCAACTCCATTCCTTGTGTAGAAATCTACCTACCCAAAGTCAAGTTCAGTGTGTAAAGATATTGATAAAAGTCACGGTCTCCAACATGCAAGGAGAAGATCAGAGCCACGTGGGGATCCATCCCCGGTAGGGAAGCTGGATACAGTGTGGCCTGGCCATCCTGCTGAATTCTACGAAGCCCTCACTCACAGTGGGGAGGATCTGCACATATCCACATGAACAGTGCTCTAAGATGAGCTGGTGAGTGAAGGAAGCAAGACGCAGGCCGATATTCAAGTGTGATGCCATGGCCTGCTAAAAATAAAGTAGCATGTGTGTACTGCAGGAGGGGACTATTAACACGGCCATCCCCAGCTCCCCACTCTCGTCTCTGACAGAAAGGGCTCCTTTCTCCACCATGACCTCCCTGGAGAGCCCAAACCTGTTCTTGGACTTCTGCAGAGGCTGGGAAGGGGTAGGGTAGGGACTCCCAGAGCTGGTCTGAAGAAAGCAGCTGCTGCTCTGTGACAAGGCATGCATCCCTCCCCACAGAGCTGTTTGTGTATACATATCTGTATGTTTATATAGACAGATTGTGACAGGGCTCACACATACCAAAAAAGGTGCACAGTAAACTCGTCTCCATAGTCACTCTAGGGTGAGATGAGGTGGCCCTAAAGTGATGGGAGAAATGACACAGATCTTTCAATAATGACATGGAAAGGTATCCACAGATTACTTGGGGGAAGGAGGAACAGTTGCAGGATAATAGGATTCATGGAATTTCACTTTCAAAAGGACGCAGCTTTGTGTCTCCTTATATAGATACACCACGCTACACATCAAGCTTTTCCTGCTGGTTACTTCCTGGAAATGGGATGAGGAAAGGGTGAGGGGCCACACTGCTTACCTGCCCCCCACGCCCCATGGAAAGGGTTGGTGGGAAAATCACAGCATGAAGCATTGAGCACAGGGCTTGGCACTTAAGGTGTCCTCATCCTCAAAGAATGTGAGCGTTTGGCAGAGCTAGCTGCTTGGGTCTTTTGTTGAATAAATACTGTGGCTCACAGGTAGGCTATGCCAATAATCAAATCCCAGAAAAAGTTTTATGCAATAAAAATACATTAGCAGCCGGGCACAATGGCTCACACCTGTAATCCCAGCACTTTGAGAGGCCAAGGCGGGCAGATCACGAAGTCAGGAGATCGAGACCATCCTGGCCATGGTGAAATCCCGTTTCTACTAAAAAAAAACAAAAAATTAGCCGGGCGTGGTAGCACATGCCTATAGCCCCAGCTACCCAGGAGACTGAGGCAGGGGAATAGCTTGAACCCAGGAGACGGAGGTTGCAGTGAGCTGAGATCGTGTCACTGTACTCCAGTCTGGCAACAAAGCAAGACTCCATTTCAAAAAAAAATAATAATAATTAACATTATACACAGACTTGACTCATTTTTACGATGGATAACTCGGAAGTTTCTATATTTTTATGAAATACTTAACTCTTTTGGCCTCAGAGATACCATGTGCTCCTGGCTTTCTTTCTTCCTATCTCATTCGTCTCTCCTTCTGTTCTGAGTCTTTCTCTCTCTCTCTTTTTTTTTTTTTTTTTTTTTTTTTGAGACAGAGTCTCACACTGTCACCCAGGCTGGAGTGCAGTGGCGTGATCTCAGCTCACTGCAACCTCCGCCTCCCAGGCTCAAGCGATCCTCCCACCTCAGCTTCCTGAGTAGCTGAAACCACAGGCATGCACCGCCACACCTGGTTAATTTTTTTTTTGTCTCTTTTGCTCTTTCATTCATAGGCCCACTCACTCATTCATTCGGCGTATATTTATTGAGTTCTTATTACATGCCAGACGTGTTCCTTGGTGGGGGAGATACAGATGTAAACAAAACAGATTACATATCCCGCCTCTGTGGAATTTAATTCCAATTGGAGGCATCAGACAATGAACAAGTAAGTTAAATACGTAGGTAGTGATAAGTACCATGGAGAGAAACAAGGTAGGGGAAGAGAATCAGAAACGTGGGGGTGAAGAGAGAGTTGCACTTTTAAAATGATCATCAGAAAAATTCATTGGGTAAAGACCTAAATCCAATGGGGAAACAAACCAAGCCTATGTCTAGGATGGGGAAGGGTGTTCAGGCAGAGGGAACAGCAAGCACAATGGCTCAGAAGCTTCAGAGAACATGTAGCAGCTGAAAATTGCACGGAGGTTATGGAGCATAAGTGGTGGGAGCCAGTGGTGAGAAATGAGTGTGGAGAGTATTAGGGTTTTTTCAGGAAAAGCCCTGGGCTTCGGGCTAGCGAATGTGGGCTCCATGCAGAGGATATTAGGGACAGAAGTTACCCCATCAGGCTCTGTGTGTGGAGGGCAGGCTCTGGGGCAGCCTGGAGGCAGGAGACTGGTGATGAGGATGTGACAATTGCTGGATGAGGGACAGAGGATGACTAAGGCGGGTGGGAAGAGGGGGACCTGATGCCAGAAGGGGCGTGTTTGTTTCCTGTGGCTGCCGTGACAAATTACCATAAACATGATGGCTTAAAGCCACAGAAATTTATTCTCTTGCCGCTCTGGAGGCCAGAAGTCTGAAGTCATTATCACTGGGCTGAAATTAAAGCAGCAAGGGCACTGTGCTCCCTCCGGAACCTCAAGGCCGGAATCCATGCCTTGCCTCCTCCAGCTTCTGGCGGCTGTGACACTTTTTAACCTGTAGCAGCATGACTGCAATTTCTACCTCAGTGTCACATTGCCATCGGTCTGTGTCAAACCTCCCTCTGCCTCTCTCTTATAGGGAGGCCCATATATTCCCAGATAATTTTTCCATCTCAAAATCCTTAACACAGCCACAAAGACCATTTTGCCATATACGCTAATATTAATATTTAGGGGCTGCCAGGATTAGTGCCTGGCACCTCAGGTGGCTGCTATTCAGCCACCACATGGATAAAAGGCAGATTGCTCAGACCCGGGGATCACCCCTGCCAGGCGTCGCCCACATGGCCACTGATGACCTCCATATCACTAAGTCTCCTGGGCGATGCTCAGTTCTCGTCTTACCTGACCCAGCACAGCTCAGCATTCCTGGTTTTCCTCCCACCCTATAACTACTACTTCTCATTGCCTCTGCTCATCCCTCATCTTCTCCCCAGGGCCCTGGGGCTCAGCCCTTGCTGACCATCCAGGCTGTAGCTTCATATCTACACACATGCCAGCCACTCTAGCCCAGACCTCTGTCCCCATCTGGAAGCCCACAATCCTGACTCTCTCCCAACAGCTCCACTGGGATATCTAGAAGGCCTTTCCACCCCACAGCTCCAAAGCTGGACTCATGATCTTCCCCCAAAGCTTCTCCGCCTGCAGCCTCCCTGTTCTCAACCGTCACCTTGTCCAGCCCATCAGGAAGCCTTGCCAGCTTCACCACACACTCAAATCTGACTCCTTCTCCCTGGTCCCAGCCACCCTCTCCTCTCTCACCTGAATTTGGCTGCAGCCACTTCACTGGCCTCCTTGCCTCCGCTCTCTGAGTGAGCTTTTTTGAAGGTAAATCCAATAGCATCATTTCATCCAGGGTCAAAGCCAGGCCTTGCATGGTTCTACAAGCCCCTGCATGATCTGCCCCCTCCTTATCTTCTCTCTGACCACATCTCCTGCTAACATCTCTTCTCTTCCTGCTCCTTCCTCTCCACCCACACTCTGCCATTCCTTGAGCTTGCAAGCACCATTTCTTCCTCAGGACCTTTGCACTGGCTGTTCCTCTACTCTAGAATGCTCTCCCCTCCTGTATCCTCATGACTCATTCCCTTGATCCTCTAAAAATCTTTGCTCAGGGCCGGGCGTGGTGGCTCACACCTGTAATCCCAGCACTTAGGGAGGCTGAGGTGGGCAGATCACAAGGTCAAGAGATCCAGATCATCCTGGCCAACATGATGAAACCCCATCTCTACTAAAAATACAAAAATTAGCTGGGCATGTTGGCACATGCCTGTAGTCCCAGCTACTAGGGAGGCTGAGGCAGGAGAATCTCTTGAACCCAGGAGGCGGAGGTTGTGATGAGCCGAGATTGGGCCACTGCACTCCAGCCTGGGTGACAGAGCAAGACTCTGTCACAAAAAAAAAAAAAATCTTTGCTGAAGTGTTAACTTCTCAATAAGGCATACTCCGACTACCCCCAATAAATAATGCAACTCCTCCAAGATTCCCAGCTCCACATCCTGCTCCACCTCCTCCAAGGCATTGACATGTCATTTGCTTATTCATGTTTCCTCTGAATCAGCCCCCACGAGATGGAATGCATAAATGCTGGTTGATTTTGTCCACTGGTTTCTCCTTTGAACCTAGAACAGTGCCCAGCACAACATAGGTGCTCAATGCATGTTTATTGCAAGGATCACCAGGTGTGGGGCTGAGGGTGCAGCTGCAGATCAGAATGGCTTTGGGAGTATAATTCCATGCAGAGAGCCTACTGTCTCCATGAGGGAACAGAACAGGGGCAGGTCAGGGGAGATCAGGTTTGAGTGTGGAGGGCGTGAGGCACCAAGGACCCATAAAGATACCTCCCAGGGCAGCTGGCTCTCTGGAACAAGAACTCAGAGAGACATCTGGCTGCACAAAAGAGCCTGGCCTAAATGAGCCTGGCTTTGACCCTGGGTGAAACTATAACAGAAAGTGCACCTTCCACCCCTACCCCAGAGTCAAGTTCACCTGGGTTTGAATCCCAGCTCCTCCCATTACTGACTGTGAGACTCTGGGCAGGTTCCTTCCCTGGCAACACCTCAGTTTCCTCATCTGTGAAATGGAGGCAGCCACTGTACAGCATCCCACACGGCGTCATTGAGAGGGTTAAATGAGGTGATATTCAGAGCACTGAGTATGTGGCACACGCTCTTGTCGCCTTTCCAAGGGCCAGGTGCAACAGCAGGTAACAAGTCCCCAGGAAGCTGGCTGGGACTCTGATTCACTGCAAGCCCTGGACACCCCCGGCATTCAAGGCTCAGTCTTCAAGCCCTCTCCTGAAGGGTTCGATCCCCAGGCTCTGCCTCATGCTGGAGGCACTGCCATAGTTAAAGCAGGCTCTCGGCCACATCTGAGCCTGAGTTAATGGGCCTCTGACCCATTTTTCTAGCAGACTCATTACCTTTTATTTAGCCTTGAAGACTCTGGTGGCTGATTGGCAGAGAAGCTTTCACAGCTGGGAAGGGATATGGGATCTGTGTCAGCCCCTTGCTTGCTGTCCATGAACTCTGGCCTCAGCAGCTAATGGCAGAACCAAGGCAGGCAGAATGAATTCCCTGACCCCGGGACCAGGCCCACCAGGGAGAGAGAGTCACCATGTTCCCTTGTCTTACCTTTGCCTGGCTTCCAAGTGGTCGCATTCCAGCCACCCCATGCGGGGGCTGTAAGAGAAGGGAGAGGACCCAAGTGTTCCCTCCCTGCAGTGAACCCCGCCGCTTCCAGATGATGCACCCCCAGAAGAGGATCACAGACCAGTAGGTTAAACAAGTGGCTTTACAGGCCACCCCAAGCCTGATCCATGCATGGGCAGCACCTCTGCTGGAAGACCAGATATGGAGTGTGCTGGGGCCACTCTGCAGACAGAAGGGGTGAATGGGGGCCTTGGATCCCTCACACAGTAGGGTGTTATGTTCTGCATTCTTCAGAGCAGTCACTGTCCCGCTCAGGGCCTCAGTTTCCCCACCTGTTGAATGAGGGTTCGGAGCAGATAATCCCCAATTGTGCTATCCAATGTCATAGCACAGGCTACATGTGGTGACTGTGCCCTTGAAAGGTGGCTTGTGTTGTAAGTGTGAAATACGCATGGATTTTTAATACTGCACAAAAAACCCCACCAAGAATATCAAAATACTTTTGAATAAGTTTCAAATAGGTTTTGTTTTGATTACATGTTGAAATGATATTTTAGATATACTGGGTTAAATCAAATATTGTATTAAAATTAATTTCAGGCCAGGCGCAGTGGCTCATGCCTGTAATCACAGCACTTTGGGAGGCTGAGGTGGGTGGATCACGAGGTCAGGAGATCGAGACCATCCTAGCCAACATGGTGAAACCCGGTCTCTATTAAAATATAAAAAACTAGCCAGGTGTGGTAATGTGCACCTGTAGTCCCAGCTACTCGGGAGACTAAGGCAGGAGAATCACTTGAACCCAGGAGGTGGAGGTTACAGTGAGCCAAGATTGCACCACTGCACTCCAGCCAGGCGACAGAGCGAGACTCTGTCTTCAGAAAAAAAAAAAAAATTCAGTGTTTCTTTGTACTTTTAATGTGGCTACAAGAAACCTTAAAATGATATATATGGTTTGCATTGTATTTCCACTGATAGCAAGTGGAGCTCTAGAGACCTGAGTTTGAATTTTTCAAGGGGTGTGTGCAGGTGGGTACCATGAGTGTGTATGTGTGT